CAAGCACAATATCAAGAAGACTTCAGTCTCCTCTTTTATATTCTGCTGAAAATGTGAGACACTGGAACTCTTGAAAACCCAGTGCCTTAATTCTTAGTCTGCTTGAGTTTGGTTGTGTGCTCTGTACAGTCCGTATAGGTGTGGCCTGCTGACATCTACCCTAAAAACTGTGCAGCAGTTCTGTTAAGTGCCAATCCTGTGACTACCAACAGGACTTATCTTCTCCTGGCTTCAAAGTCCCTCATCTCTCCTCCACCACAGGCTTTGCAGAGGGCTGGTGCTGTTGTGTCAATGACAGGAGATGGCGTTAACGATGCTGTGGCCCTTAAATCTGCCGATATTGGGATTGCAATGGGGCAAGCGGGTACAGATGTCAGCAAAGAGGCTGCCAACATGATCCTTGTGGACGATGACTTCTCAACAGTAATGTAGGTTCAGAGACTTTCGGTATCTGCTTTCTTGCTTCAGATGCTTTCTGGCTATCCATTGCAATGAGGCTGTTATGCGACTAGCCCTGGAAAAATCCGAGATGCAGGACGTGTAAGTCAGCTGGCAGTAAGTGGAGATTGATTCCTCGGTGTCAGCCTGGCTCACGTTCAGTTGTACGCACTGCAATGGCTTTTTTTGTTTCAGGTGGTGGGAACAAAGCTACCTTTCATCTGAAAGCCCTGGTTTCTTGTTGCTGTAGCAATAGAGAATCCCCAGTTACTGTAGCTGACTGGAGATTTAAAAGCTCCTGGATGTCTGGGTAGATCATAACTTGTGCTCTCTGCCTCATGCAAGAAGCTCAGAGGAAAGCTGTATAATTTGCAACGCGTTGTTGGTTCATAATGGGCACGGTAGGCAGAGCAGAGTGAGGCTATAATAGGTCACATGCCTGCTTTATGAATCAAAACCTGGCCGTATGAACCAGTGTTTTCAGATTGATTAATGCTGATAAAGTCATTTTAACTGAGAAGATGCATTGTTCTTTTCTAAGCTGGGCTATGAATTTCAACCCAGGTAAGTGCTAGAGAAGATAATTTATCTTCAGGGTGTCACAGGGAGCTCAGCAGAGAATAGTATTAGTCTTAGTTATTTAATAAATTCTCCTCTCCCTTGCAGGAATGCAATAGAAGAGGGAAAAGGAATATTTTACAACATAAAAAATTTTGTCCGGTTCCAGCTGAGCACGTAAGTTCGTGTTTGCTTCGATTGCAGTGGAAGCACCTTTCGGGTGAGGCCACGCAAACAAACGATGTTCTGTGCTTTGCAGGAGCATTTCAGCATTGAGCCTAATTACTCTGTCAACAGTGCTCAACCTACCAAATCCACTCAACGCTATGCAGATCTTATGGATCAACATCATCATGGACGGGCCCCCAGCCCAAAGGTATAGAAGACTCAAATGAGCAAAATATGATAGTTATGTAAGAGAAGTTGTACTTTTGTTCCCTTCTGGTTCCTCCTAAAGCACTTCATCAGTATTCAAGGTTTTACATGTTCTTGTTTTGGGGTTTAACCAGTTAACTGCTCCACATTTTCATGGGGAACAGTCTTCTCTCTAAAGTGCATCACCTGCTATCACCCTGTAGGTCTGACTGGCCAGGAAATTCTGCACACATTCAGGTGTATGTGCCCAAAATCACAAGATCCAAGAGCCTCATCCACCTGATAATTACAACTGCTCCATCACAGAAGGGATGTTGGCCAAAATCTCACACCTAGCTCTCCCTCTAGGATGGGATCACTGGTATGATGAACTATGGTAGTCTAATATCACTGTAGCAGCTCATTTTCCAAAAGAGACCTTTATCATAGGTCTCTCAGACAAATTTGGATCTTTATGTAACCCTGCCAGAATACTGGCATCTCTCACGCTTAAGTTCTTTGAAATAAATTTTCCAGATCCATCCTATCAGCAGTACCATTTCAGGAAAATGCACGTTAACTAAACACGGTGCTCTTCTATTTGATACAGCTTGGGAGTTGAACCTGTCGACAGGGATACTATCAAACAGCCCCCCCGATGTATTACGGACACTATACTCAGCAAATCATTGATCCTGAAAATCTTCATGTCAGCTGTAATTATCATCAGTGGAACCCTCTTTGTCTTCTGGAAGGAGGTGAGGAAAATCTTCAATCATATCTTATTTTCATCAGGGTGGAGAACAAAGTGAAGGGCAATTTCTGAAGGAATTATGTGGGAACTTTCTGAATATCCAGTGGAGAAGGATTAGGAAGGGCAGTGTTAGGAAGCCAGAGATCATTAAAGGGAATATTTAGTCCATCTGTTACATTGACATATTTTTGTAAGGCTTAACTTTGCATTCGCTTTCAGAATCCAGAAAGTGGCATAACTCCCCGAACCACCACAATGACTTTCACGTGTTTTGTGTTTTTTGACCTCTTCAATGCCCTGACATGCCGCTCTCAGGTGAGATCATTGTGTCAGCAGTAATTTCTTGTCTAAAAATGGTAACTAAACACTATATAAACACTAGAATACAAATATTTTGCATAGGAAGTTTTTGTTGTTTGTTTTACAGCTATTTAAACAGTGTGATTTTTATCATCTTCATAAAGTTATTCATCATTGTTCAACTGAAACTACACTTTCAGCTATCTAGTTCTGCCCCAGTTAGCATGCATGTAACTTCAGTTTTCCAAAGGGTAATAGAGCTTATGTGCAAAGAAACAGTCTGACATTCAAGTACCAACAGGATATTGGGAAATGCTATATTTCTTTTTATTTTTTCCTTTTTCTAGACAAAGCTGATATTTGAAATAGGCTTTTTTCGAAACCGCATGTTCCTGTATTCTGTGCTTGGGTCATTCTTGGGACAGCTGGCTGTTATATATGTCCCTCCATTACAGAAGATCTTCCAGACAGAGAATTTAGGAGTCCTAGGTAAGTTACAATTTATTATATACCTATTTTTTATATAAGCTACTTTAAAAAGCAGTTAAAACTGCCAAGTTGCTATGTGATAGTTCCCATGAGACTGCTGGTAGGGGAAATCAATCAACAGTTCATATACCTATATGCATACACGTAGCTATACAAAAATGCTCGTATTTAATGATATCCCAAGGTTGGTTTTGAATTTTGATTTTCTGCACATAAATGCATGTAAATGCAGACAGGCTAAGATTTTCCATGAGTTCTATATGATAATCTTGGTTTAAACACATTTATCTATGATCATTATGCAGTCACTCAATTTAAAAAAAAAAATCAGGGTAAATGTTTACTAGTTTTAAATGCAATGCATATTTTACCATTTAAATCAGTCTAAGCAAACTCTACCATACTATACTGTTATCACATCTACACTAGGCATGTTAGAAGCTGAGTTCAATGATTCCACACGCAGATTAATGTAGTCTCCCCATCAAATGGATTATACCAACTGACTTCATATTACTTACTTATTGCAGTCATTTCTCTAATTCAACAGCTACCACAAGCATAGTCAGATATTACCTCTACATAGTTATACCAACACAAATATCTACTGCAGGAGGGCCCTTAATTAGGGATCCCCAGCCCAAAATCCAGCTGTCCTGTGTTCACCTCTGCTCTGTTTCCTCTTGGCAGACCTGCTGTTTCTTACTGGACTGGCTTCCTCAGTTTTCATCGTGTCCGAGTTGGTCAAACTCTGTGAAAAACACTGCTGCCAACCAAAGCACACAAAGGAGTGTCATAACTGATGCAGACTTCCTCTAAAAATATATTCAGATTGAAGCTGTGATGTGGGTAACTCAAACGCACCATTTGCTGATGATGCACGTCTTTTCCGAAGATACCCAAGTAAATCTGTACCGACAGTTCCTCCTACTCCAGTGTGTTCCTTCTGCACACTGTACTTAAGCTGTTTGAGCTGTCTACAGAAACCTCTGGACTGGCTCCTGTTTTAAACCAAGATCAGGTATATTTTTATAACGTTGCTCTGTATGCCAAGACTGCTGTGATAGCCCCCAAACAAAATAAGGCAATTTCACACCTGTACAGAAATACCTACTGTGCATAAATTGAATTTTTATTTATTTAAATCACAATGATTTTTATTAATAAAAATCTATGTTTTAAAACATTACATTCATGTATCTGAACAAGACTCTTGATTTAAACCTATCCTTTTATTTTAAATTAGATTAATGGAAAAGAACTGCCTTCTCAAGCACTTCTTTTCCTATAGGTTTCTAGAGTCCGTGATACCTAGCTTTGCTTTAACAGACTATCAAGGAATCTGGCATGAGATTTCAAATAAACAGTAGAGACTCCTGTCCGCCTTTGCTGAAAACCACAGTCATTTTTTACTCCTACTGGTCACACAGGGGCAAAAGTGGATGGCTGATCTGATGCACAGTGGCAGACAGTGGTAATGGGGAAGGGATTCACTCTCACAAGCACATGAGAATGAAGATGACTTGTACACTTGCAGGAATATTAAACCTTGCAGTTGGATCAACAGCTGCATAAAAGTGAGTGAGAGATGTTTAGATCATAGCTAAACTCACTGCTGATGACCACTTTCTGGACATTTGTTGATGCAGGAACATGAAACACAGATTGCTTAATTATTAGGTTCTGGAGGGTGGGAGAGAGGGGAAAAAAAAGTTGACTCTCATCTAAGCCAATCTTGAATAATCCCATCTGCTGCTTGGATCAGTAGTTTCCTAGTAAATAGTGCTCCACTGACATCTGCTACGATTACCAAAGTGTCAGTTTTCTTCTTGCCCCAGCATAACACCTTCACTTTAAAGTGAAGATAAGAGTCTCAGATACAAACTTGTCATAAAACACAATTTCAGAGGTCAAAATGCTATGCCAGTCTTCACAGGATTATATTTAAACAGGATTATACTTCTGATTCATAGTCTAGGAAGAACTAGCTAGAATGACACTTACTTTAAATCAAAGAAAACTCAGTCACTGTAATACTTTAGGTGTAGAGTAGGCTTTGTGCAATTCACCCTCCCCAGTTACTGCTTGCAACGATGTCTTCTTGCTGTTTTTTTTAAATATCCTTGCAAACGGTTTCAGTCCTCAAGGAAAAGTATCTGCCTCATTACGGGACAAAAAGAAAGGTTAGCAGTTTGCTCAACGTGTAATTGCAGAAGTTCAACTGTCTCATTTCTGCACGTCATCCACTTCAGCAGCATTTAGTAAGCTTAGCCCTTGCCTAGGACAAAGAATGCTTCTGAGGCTTATGGTGGGAGTTTGACAATACCATGTTAAAACAAAGCCAGCATCACCACACTTGCAGAAAGCATCGTGTACTTAGTAGCTGTCTATACAGTATTTTCTACTGTATACCCTTTAAGATTCTTATAAAAATACAGATAGCAAATTACATAAAGGATCAGTATAACTCTTACAAGGCTTACTTTTTCTTTTTTTTAACCTCCCCAACCACAATCTTGGGAAACTATCTTGTTTATTTACTTAGCCACAACATAAAAGCAGTAAGCTCAGGCCTTTCACAGCATACATGCTCTGATCATTAGTGCAGGCAGCATGTTAAATGCTAAGCAGAGTTCCACGATGCATGGCTGCAGAGACTTTTTCATGTTCTCCTCTCAAGGCTAAATTCACATTGTTTAACTACTACAGCAACAAAAGTGGGATCTATATTAAGGCATAAGCACAGATTATTCTGAATATTCAGAAGTGGTTCCCTCTGAAAAGCATCAGAGGAGGGAAAAGACCACATACAAGAAAATGTTAATGGAAAGCATTTGAAGGAAGGCCACGTGATCAGGAATTGCAGCAATAATACAGACTTACAGTGTATGTTTTACTCTATGATGCATGGAAATCAAACTTTTCCTATGACAAATTCATGCTAGTACAAGGAGGAACTGACACAGTCCTTTTACTTAGTGTGTGTGACAGTCAGCCTTTCTCTTCCTAATAACCAAACACCATTTGCTGAGCTAGAAATTACAGTCCCTGATAGAAATTAGGGTTATTTTTAACAAGTTAATTACACAGAAAATTAGCAAGGTCATACTAAAAAACACGTGAATAGATTTAAGTAGAAAAAGCCCTGAGTGGAGAGTTCACAAAACTGGTCTTGGCTGGTGAACAGCCAACAAAACAGAGAAAAAAAACAACCTGCTAGTTATGTTTTGCACTTTTTTCCATAATACAGTGACAATTATGTGGAAATAGAATGTGCATTAGTCTTCAGAGAAGTTAAAGGCATAAGCCTGATTTTTAAAATTTTATTTATTTGCAAACTATCTGCAGATACTAGTCCCAATTACCTGTGGATGCTTTCTTCCTTAATCCTTTCTACAGACTCATCTTTTTCTCCAGTCTCAAAGCAGATCTACTAAAGAATGCACCTCCCCTTGAGAATTTCTGCATGAGGTATATTTGTTCTGGGAGCACAGGGTTGGCCCATTCTTAGAATAAATATGCCTCAATGATTCCAATGGCTTTGTTCTCCTAAGTTTAAAAAAACAATAGGCAAGTTTCTCCAGAAACATATTAAGCAAGCTTCACTAAACTGTAGTGTATCACCATAAAACTCAACACTGTATACTTACCATCCTGCACCTTACAGCCTGTAGAATCACTTGCTTAAAATCTGACTTAGAAAAGACTGAGATTCACTGCTTTAATTGCAGCAATGCAAATTAACAGCATTCTTCATATGGAATCATGAGAACTATTCTATGTTTACCAAGGTAAGATACAATTACAATTTGTAAGCTTCACCACCTAATTTCATTGCATGCAAATAAATACATGTAGTCAAGGTGTAAGAGCCTTAATCAAAGTATTATCTAGTCTTTATGTAAATACTCGTTAATTCTCCAAGTCAATAAGCAGTAGTGTCAATAAGTTATTCTTTTGTTTTTAAACTCTATATGCAGGCAGGATCTATCAGAAATGCTACTAAGTCCACAATCAACTAGAACTTAATCATTAGATATCTTTTAAATACCTAGTTAATTTTTCTGTCTTCCCCAGGCTAAATCCTTCGGGCAGGATATTGTACTGGACCTAAATGTTACATAAGTACGAGACTTATGCTTAGTCCCAGATAATTAGGTAAATGTAAGGAAAAAAAATGAAAGAGGAAGAACCTGAATCCTGTCCAAAGAACATGAAAATTCAGGAGCAAAAAAAAGGGGGTTTCATGTTACTGTGAATCTCTTAGTTATCTTCGTCATCTTCAATGGGTTCTCGTAAACCTTCGCTCTGACGGCTTTTTCCAACCATTTCTAATAAGGCCTGGGCCTCGGGATCCACATCCAAGATACTCTTCTTACCTTTTGTCTGTAAAGCAAAATAAAATAAAGTCAATTTACAATGCCATTATGAATGAATCAGTATTAGGCTTAAAGAAAGAGATATACTCAACAATATACAAGTAACATGATTTTGCAAGCTTGTCACAATGACAGATGCATACTTTCCATGTGAGGCATTTAAGGTTCACTGGGATACATCAAGTGACTTTAATTGCCTGCAGATACGCAAAATAGTCAGAAAATTTTCCTAAGAGCACAGTGAATTGTTTCAAGTATGTTCAGGTTACAAGTCAGCCAGCACACACTAGCTAACCTGACCACAAATTCAAGTGTAGATGTCAACTCTTTTTAAAAAAGGAGATTCAAGTAAAATCTAACAGTTCCTATAAACAGTTTGTTCCATTTCTACTTAGAGCTGTGTGTCCCGTGAACAGACAGAGTACATTAATTTAGTATGAAAAGAAATAAAGTTTAAAAACACAGAAAACAAGCAACTGTGCAAAGCAGACAGTTTAATAAGCTAAATTGCAGAGACAGAGGAGACAGGAAAGGTCTCCTACTCATTCCCAGGAATAAACGAGGTGCAGAAAGACCAACAATAATCTATTCACAAACTATTTAAGCAAAAAGCTCTTTGTATCCTTGCTGAAACCAGGTTTCCTAGGCACTTCAAATATTACTGTTCTATACAAAGTATCAGCTGTTTAAATGCAGGTCTTGCTGTGTTTTTATTAGTCTTCTGTCAGATAAGGAAGTGCTGGGATTGGAGGTGCAAGGATTATAAATGGCTAATCTATTGTAAAACAACAATAAATTACTGATAAAGAAATATTTTGGCTCTCTCAGTTTGCCTCGTGAGCTACAGATTAGACTTTACTTATGCATTGCTAGTGCTTTGTATCTGTTTTACAAATACTGGGTTTTACTGAACCCCTGCAAGGAGGTTCCTCCTTGAGACAATTCCTCGATATCAGAAAGGCATTTTGAAATTGCGAGTAAAGTATTGCTCTTCTATCACCTCATGGCTCCTCATGTTTTTTCATATTGGAATTCTCAAAAATTCTACTGACTGTTTTATGACTTTCTTGCTACAAAATATACTGCACCACAGAGTGAGTTAAAGAAAACATTATTCACTATGGTAAAAAGAGAGCGCTTATGAGAAACCCAAAACTGTCTTTCCTTCGCATCTCCCATTCCAAATAGGAAACAATTTCACAGGTTTCAGTTTTGTTCACCAACCTCTGTACTTTCAGGCAAGTCTCCCACTGCCCAAACTTCCAGGGCATCCAGTGTGAAATTCTCTTTAGCTGACAGCTGAGGGCTGTTGTAGGTGGTACATCGAGGTTTGGCTTTACTGTGTCCCTTCCCATAGTCACTGTCTACCCAGAGGCCGAAGTAATCATGTTGTCCACCCATACCCTGTGAAGCAAAGCAGCACACTAAACACTTGCTACACATGTACAATACAGTGGAAAAGTTACGAAACCTAGAGTATAAATTGCCAGTTTTAGTATCTATGCCATACTTCTGTGAGTAGGTGAAAAAGGATATTCTGAGTCAACCTCAGCTACTACACAAATCTGGTATCCCCGCAGACAAACCGGAGTTTATTTGAGTGTTACTGCCTTCCCTGTATGTTTTACAGAGTCACAGCTGAACTGCTTGCAGATACTGAATGTGGTGCCAGAAATTTAGCCCCCTGGCTTTTATCTATTGACTGACAGTTCCATTTTAAATAGGGCGGAAGTGTTGGGTTTAGCTGCCTGTTTTCTGTTTAGAAAAGCATCCACAGAAATGGATAATGTAATTTGATGTTGTTTTCTTCAGAGCAAATTTACCTCAGACTGCTACAATTCCCTAAATTACAGGCACATAGCACAACAAATCTGTAAAGCACTGCTCAAAATAGATGGTGTGCTGCTGTTTTGTAGAAAATCTGCATCTGGTGAGCTCATTCATGGGCTTGAGTAAAGGGAGCTTCTGCCACTGGAATCACACAACAGCAGCAGCCTACGTAGAACTCTCATACTCTAATTCTGTTGGGCTTTCTCAGTCTTCAGTAATTTAAAAAGCAGTTGCTGTGGTGTTAAGAACAGCCAGTAGAAGGCTCTTCTACTACTTAGATCAGCCAGCTTATGCTGCTTTAATGATGTGGATACGCACTGCCCATTCTTCCAGAAAACAGGAATCAAGGACTCCTAGAAGGGCGTGTGTGATAATCAAACTTGGAAAAAAAAAAAAAAAGTGTTCCCATAATCTTCATAATCCTAACCTGCATAAAGTTCACCTACTTGGACCAGACATGAATAAATTCTATCTTAGTTGATTTGGTACTTCAGAATACCTACCAACTACAAAGAAAAGTAAGAACTCTATTAGTACTGCAAGCAGTTCTCCGTCATTATCCATAGTTCACACTTTACACTGATACTTAATGCTAAAAAAATAAAAAATAAATATCCTCCAAGTAAAAGTGTGGGACAAATAACATAGATAAAGGATGAAAACATCCTCAGAGAAAAAGACAAGTGAAACAAATCGGCTGAAAGATGTAATGAGGAAAAAAAAAAAAGCACAAAACACTTGCAAACATCAGCCATTAATCCAATTTCCAAATTGTCATTTCTTAGTACTTACTAGTCCATTTGGCATTGTTTGTTGGTTATGGTTCAAATACATGTAGTGGTCATTATACCCTGTGTATGTATATACAGCAAGAGAGGGGAAAACAGAGAACAGAAAGCATCTGTTGTCACCTGCAAACAGAAAAGCATGTGAGGTCAGACAAGTGGCCAGACAGTAGCTTGCTTACAAATAGGATAGGAAAAAGGTATTGAAGAAATGCAGCTGAATAAATGAAAGACAGCAGCTGCAATCTCAGAAAGCCAATATCTATGTCTAATCAAGATCTAGACCTATTGTTTACTGTCAGTTAACTCTGTGCAGGGTCACAGAAATCAATGGGATTATGTGGCTGTGACCAAGGGCAGTCAGAGGCATGACTAGTACATTACATTACTAAGCAAGGGTACACCTATCACAGGCTTGCATCGTGTCATCTAAAACTGGCAAACTGCTGGACCCATACAAACTGGTAGGAGTGCGATCACCCTTAGTTCTGACTGTACAGATAATACAGATCAGTTTAGGGTCAATGAATTTAGAGTACAGCCTTCATTGTGCCCCGTTTTGTACCCAGAAAGCCTGTGGTGTGTAGAATAGCACTGCATGTGTTATTCTGTCAGGAAAAAACAGGAGGAAAATGTGTGACCAATGTAATAATGTATTAACTGAGTGGGGTGGTAATTATCAAATATTGCTTAAGTATAGCAAATGAGTTTTTTTAATGTATCAAAAGCAAGGATTCCTAGAAAGACTGATTACCCAAAGTCCATCTTTTTTTTTCCTCCATATTTCCAGATAAGCCATATTTCCAGAAAGAAAAAATTATTCCCATAGAGTTACAAGAAGCACCTCTCCTCTCTCCAGAGTTTTCAAGGGAATAAAATGTTTGTTCTGTACAGCGGAACTTTTCGCTGTTGGATTTTTAAAGGGAAACAAAGGCAGAGAGAGCTAGTGTGCAAATGGTGAAGGAAGGCTTAGCCGACGTTGCCATCTGCTGGACAAACATTGCCATCTGCTGGACATGTTATTTAAACTGTACTCCCTTGTTTAAACTGTATTTCATTCATTTTTCACTTCACTTTCACCTACGGAGCCACAGGAGTCGATAGCTTTTACTGAAAAGGAAACCATGATCAATAAGTCCTGCAATTTCAAGTCTTAGCCAACGACAAACTATAAACATTCATCAGGAATATGCCTGACTGGGCACAAGGGCAGAATAACTTGGTATGTTTTATACATGCTTCCAAAATGAGAATGGTTTTGCTGCAGGAAAATACACTTGAAGCCATGGAAATACCGTGTGTTATGAAAGTAAAATAACAGTAGCCATTAAGCAGACAGGATTCTTGTACCTGTACAGAGTAAGCAACGTTTACCAGAACCGTGAGATATTAACAGAAAAAGAAAAGTGTGTTTTACCTTGAAACTGTGGTTTCACTTCCCAGGAGTGAGATGCAAACCCACCAAAGATATAGCCATCTAAGTCCCTTAGGATCACTATGCAGGGACCTTTGTTCACTATATGCCCACATAACTGTGAAAAGCTTTCTCCGTGAAGTCTAGAAGAAAACAAAAGCCGCCACTTGTGCTGCAGCTCTGCTGGCAAATGGGAGTTGATGTATATGATGGATGGGATGTCAAAGAGACTGACAAGTCCTCTTCCTTTGATGCCTTTGCAGCCTGGAACCAAGTTGACTATTTCTTTGGTTTGGTCTGGGAGAGAGTGCAGAACGTGGAGGCCTTGCCTGATAACAACACTGAGAAAAGTTGAGATGTGTGGAACTCGGTACACCCAATCCTCAATGGCACTTTGATCAAAATTCATCTCCATTAGCTGAGGACCCACAGGTGTTGCCCCATCTAAATAACAAGACACGTGGAACAGTAGTAAGCCTCCTAGCCTGTACCTTCTTTCAGGAAAATAATCGGTTGATTTAAGTGCACAAAAGATACTGCATTATTTAGGCATGAAAACACAAACAAAAGGAGATGGAGATAGTAAATTGTCAGCTACATTAAAGAGATGCATGCACAGAGCTGAGAAACATTGGACTGTGACACCCATTCATTGGGCTGTCATGATTAAGAAATGTGGACTCATGGTTACAACATATGTTGCTATTTTGCAAAAAATATCTCACCTGTAATTACAACGGTACAAAGGTAAATCTAGGCTTTGCAAAAGGACATACCACCATAAACATCTGCAAATGCATCAAAACAGTTGTCACCTGCAAGTCAGGTATTTGTAAAACAGACATGTTCTGTGATAAACAGCTTTGCACATCCACTTGAATTGGGACTTAAGGCAAAAGCACTCCTGAACTTACAGGAAAAGATGGTAAAGTAGAACAATCAAAATTCCCAAGTTATTCTGAAAGCACTAGAAACTGGTCTCATCATTTAAACTCAAAGAAAATATGACCCAAAGAGCAAAGGTCTTTTGCTGATTATGCAAGCCCTGTGCCATCCTGGAATACAATACATCGGTGCTGCTTACCTGCAAGCTTCAGTTCTGACAGCAGCTGAGAAGCCAGAGCCTTTACTCCACCTGCAGAATCCCTCGTATTCTCCAAATTCCAACCTTTCAGTTCCTTCCTGTAGTTCAGTACATGGACCACAGACATGATCAGATCCTCTGTGAACTTGAAAGATTAAAACATCACCACTTTGTCATTTCTTAAATAAAATTGCCACAGACTTTCAAAGACTTTCAGAGAACAAAGGCAAGTAGTACTAGTGCTGTAATTCCAACGACAGAAACATCTATTCTCATGAAGAGTCAGAAATAGCAGAAGTGCTTTGTCAGTGTCATAGGTCCTGAAAAGGATCCTTTTCCAAGACATTCAGTAAATGTTACCTCACAAATCACTTCTGTAAAATACATCACAAAAGATAGAGGGAAATGGGAATGAAAATTTACAGTGGTACAAGCCACTAGTTAATCAGTTTTCTGAGATCCCACCCTTCCACCTAGCGAGCTACATACTTAATCCATACATCTGTCCTGTGGCTAAGGCTCTGGAAAGCACTTTGCTCCGTTCCCAGAAGCACCAGTCACACCACAGGTTTTGCTGCCTCTAGCCTACAGTTTGTTCAAGATCAGCAAGACAGTGGCAGAGAGGAGAAAAAAAAAAACAAGTCAGGAATCCCTATTCTGAATCCTCTTGCCCTGTAAGGATTACCTTCAGATTACCTACCCTAGTCTCTGCTCTCTTACTGCCCCCCAAAACACACATTTAACCTCTCAGTGTACCTCTTGGATTTGCTTGCCCTTCACAGGACCTTCTGTCGTGGAGATCATTCTCATTATTATGGTAATCTTCTCATCTGCATTCCCTTTCAAGAGGTTTGACATAAAAATTACAAACTGCTCCTTAGCAATCTGTTCACTGGGCTCAGATGATTTCCCAGTCAGGTCAATACTTTTCATTCCATTGTACAACCGAACAGTCATTTGCTCTGGTAATGGTTCTCGCATATATGCCTACAAGCAGAAAAATAGCAAAACACATATTTTTAAAATGTAGAATAACTAATATAATTCAGCTAACGTGTGCTGAGATATACTGCAATGAATGAAGGATTCTGTACCAAGTATCTACTATCAGAAACAGACTTCTGTCTAAGTACTGGTTTTCCAAGAGAAATAAAAACATCTATTTTTATAGCATATCCTTTCCAATGTAATTGATTTAAATTGATATAGTTATTCTACAAATGCTATGGAGTTTAAAAAACAAAGAAAAAAACACAATGTAAATTGTTAGCAGGATAGTAGCAAATGATTTGTATATGGCAATTCTGGTGTAAAGGTTTACAACCCTGCTAGTCTGACATTTAAAATTATAATTCTGCCTTTGATAGTCAAACTCACAGACACTTAAAACCAAATGGCAAGTAAAGTTCTTCACATAGCTTCAGTTTTGGCCTCGAGAAAATGCAGGCAAAGTATTTAACCCTAAATGCACGTGTAGGAACAACTGTAGAAAATTTCCCTTGGATAGCAACATCCAGGAGAAGCCTGAAACAGAACCGAGATCGTCTGAGTTTTATAAGGCATCCCTGATGTTGAAATCAGAGATTGTTTATTTAAGTTGCATGGCTGGCCCTTTGAATTGAAGGCTAACTTGTGTACACCGTCATACATCACAACACCACGGGAAGATCTGACTCTGCTTTCAAGAAACATTCAGAGCGTTCAAGTTAATTACAGGGTTTAAAAATAAATCATCTAAAATACATCCATACACTAGGATATGATTACACAGTGTCTTCATTGTGCCTGACATGCTGAACACACGGCTTGACGCTCACACGCAGAGCCACAGCCCAGTGGGGACTACACCGAAATCAACAGACCTCCACCTGCGTAAAAGCACTCCGGATCAATTCAGTGGAGCTGCTATTACCCATCTATTGCTGGCTCAATACCACTCCTATCGAAGCCACCAGGAACGTTCCTGTTTGATGTTAATGCTTGTTGCTGCGCATATAGGGTGAGACTCAGCGTGCTGAGCTCTAACCTGCTACTGTTGACGTCAGCAGTGTGGGAATAGAAATGTTGTTTTTGCAGAGTTACATTGTTTAGAAGGAGGGAATGTGGTACTGAGATATGCTTACAGTGATAAGAAAGTTTAGCAGGCGACCTAGTAAAATGCAGACAACCAGTCTCCTTAGGACAATTAGGTGAAAATCATGGTGTTAAGTCAAGTCAGATAAGTGAAGAAACATTACCACTTCAAACAGTAAAAATGTCAAAAGAAATTTGAAATTTAACAGGCCGGCAACTGAAGGCCATGCATTGTTTGTGAAGCATCAGATAGATTGTGAACCTGGATTACCCACTCAGTGGGGAAACAGGGGAGGGTCCTGCCATCAAAAGGTATATAAACTGTGTTTTGGAACTAGTAGATGCGCTCTCTCCTGCTTGTGGGGCGCCCGCCATTGCAATCGCGAATAAATTACTACTTCACTGAGATCCTCGCCTGAGCCTAAGTTATTGGCTACGGAGTGTTTCTCACAATTTGGGGGCTCGTCCGGGATCCAGTCACCTACTGGGGAGCCCCACCGCCGCAGCAGCAGGAAGGCATGCCCCGCTGATTTCAGCGGTCCTGTGCATCGACGGTGGCGGTTCTGTGGAAAGCTGACAGAGGGCCCGAGACTGGTTAAAGAGGCAGGATCCGTGAAGTAGTGGGGAAAGGAAGAAGGTAGGCACTCCGGGTTTTTAAGAATCGATCCGGTAACTCTGTGCACAGACCAAGGTAAGAAATATTAAGTATTGCCTTGGGGGTCGGGTATCTGGTGTATGGTAAGCCCTTGCACGGGGAAGTGCTGGCACTACACCAGGGGAATCTGGTGTACGGTAATCCTTGCACGGGTAAGTGCTTGGAAGTACACCAGGGAATCTGGTAAACTCAGGTGTGCGGTAACGCTGGCACGGGGAAGTGCTTGGCGGTACACCCCCATCTTTCAGTACGTTAGTGTGTGGTAAACTGCAGAAGGGAAATTTCTGTAGCACATACTGGCGAGGGTTAGGAAAGATGGGAAGTACGAGTTCCAGGGAATCTGGTAAACTCATAGGTGTGCGGTAACGCTTGCATGGGGAAGTGCTTGGCGGTACACCCCCATTTTTCAGTACGTTGGTGTGTGGTACACTGCAGAAGGGAAATTTCTGTAGCACATACTGGCGAGGGTTAGGAAAAATGGGAAAATATGAGTTCCAGGGGACAGGGAGATATCCCTGGGGGAGTGCCTACTAATAGTTCTTCCTGAAGAATGATAAGAAATTGGAAACATAATCCCAAAATTAGAGGGATTGTAAAAGAAAAATAATTTTAAAAAAAGGTTAAATATTGTGTATCAGTCTGGACAAAAGAACCAATTAAGGAAACAGCAGTATTTTGGCCAAAATACGGGTCTGATGAAAATTCAGGCTTTAAATTTATGTGTAAACAAGAAGATTCCTTTTTTTTAGAGAAGGAGCCAAGTCATGCTCCCTATAATCTTAATATTGAACTGGTGACAGCAGCAGTCACTCCAGGAAGGGAGACAGGGGCTGTAATTAACACTGTCCCTAAAGAAGGATCGTACTCTAGGTTCTGGCAAGAATTAGAACAAGGTAGAAGAGATATTGAGAATTTTGCCTTCCCTGATACTAACAGTACTAACAATAACTGTGTATCCTCTTAGGTGAACTACCCCCCCCCCTCCTTACCAGCAGAGAGGTTAAGACTTTTAGAAGGAGAGGAAGTCTTTATTCAAGGACCCCAACAGCCTAGTTGAACAATTAGACCAGTTCCTACGACCTGATTTATACTCTTGGGGGAGGGAATTATGTCTGTAAGTATGTTGTTTACAGGGAAAGAAACGGGAATGATCAGGAGGAGAGCTGCTATACAAGAATGGGAAAGAGCTCATCCTCCAGGACCAGGGGTAATACCGGCAGGGCAGAAATACCCACTTGCCAATCCTGGCTGGAATAATAATAGTGTGCAACACAGAAATCATATGAGAGACTTGGGGTCAGAATGAGAAAGTACTTGGGGATGAGACCTGAGGACCCAGTATCCCAAGGGCTCTTGAAAGTTCATTGTGTGATTAAAGCCTGGCAAAATACACAGAAAATGCTTCAGAAGGTGGGGGGATGTAGTGAACAGTCACTGGGGGACCCTCCTGTGGGAGGCCCTGGAGGTGTGTGTCCAGAGGGGAGATAAGAAGGAAAAAAAAAAAAAAAAAAAAAAAGTGAAACTAATGGTATTGACAGTGCAGCGGGTAGTGAAGCAGAGGGTTGGAGAAAGAGGAAAAAATCTTCAGGGGGAGTCAGGGCCAGGATGGAAAGGAGAGGAAGAGAGATGAAGGAATGGCAGGCAAAGAAGGCTGCCTGTGTTGTGGCCTGAGTCCTAGCAGAGACAGGCTTTGATAAGATGTTTTAAGTGTGGCCAGGCTGGCCACTTCGAATAGGAATATCTGGAGTGGAAGAAGGAAGAAAGAAGGAAAATGGCATGAAATATACTATATTGATATGTTGTTTCAGTATCTTGGAGGGAAAAGGTATGGAATTAAGTTGGACCCTGACTGAGCCTTTGGTACTGGTATTAGAAAAGTACAGGCTGGAGAAAGATAAAGGAAGTGTTAAAAGGGTTGCTGAAGGTGTTAAAGGTGTGGCATGTAGTATTTAACAGAGCTGTTTGAAATTGAATGAGCAGGGAAAGGTGATGTAGGCATTATCTAAGTAACAGTCTAGAAGTTTTGGTATATTTGCTGTGGTGTTTGGTCAGCTTCCCAAGCATCGGGGAGGGGGGAACAGCCTGCTCCACCAGGGCCTCTCCAGCGGCCGCAGGGGGGCTTCGGCTCCAGCGCCTGGAGCGCCTCCTCCCCCTCCTTCTGCACTGACTTTGGTGTCTGCGGGGGGGTTTCTCGCTCTCCCAGCTGCTGTTGAGCAGCAGGCTTTTGTTTCTTTGTTTGTTTGTTTTCGTGGATGTGCTCTCACAGAGGCACGGACTGTATTGCTCATGGCTTGGCTCTGGGCAGCAGTGAGCCCCTTAGGGGCCGGATGAAATTGTCCCTTACCTGCCACGGGGAGGCTTCTGGGTTTTTCTCACGGGGGCTGCCACTGCAGTTTCCTACCCCCCCCACTCACAGCCCCCGAACCTTGCCATCAAACCCAATACACTGGGGAGCAGCTAGGTCATTACTGACTTGTAAAGTATCAGGGATTAAATTAACTAATGAAACCCTAAAAAGTGATGGGGGTAGAAGGGGTTGGGATAACAGTGCCACTTTTGGGGGATACCAAGCTGAGACTAGGGGATAAAATGATCGCTAGGTAATTGTTGTATGTACCCAAGGCAGGAACTAACTTGTTGAGAAGGAATTTGATGATTAAATTGGGCATTCAAATAGTAAATTGTTAGACTGAAATAACAGTGTTATTAATGGAGTGCTCTCAGACCCTGAGAGCAAACATATATTCACCTCTGACTGGAAAGACCCTGAAATGGGGGCGGAAGCAACAATATAGGTGGACAATTTTACCTCAGGGCTATACAGGGCCACCTATCTATTTGGGTAAGTTCTAAAAAAAAAAAAAAAAAAAAAAAAAAAAAAGACTTTGGAGCAATTACAACCTCCCGAGGAGGTATTAATGTTAACAAATATGTGGACCGTTTTCTATTGTCAGGACAGGAGAAAAGAGTTGTGAAGAAAGCTACTAACAAGCTATTCAACTTTCTGGGAAAGCAGGGCTTGGGAGTATTAAAAAAAAAAAATAAATAAATTACAATATGGAGAAAGAGAAGTCAGGTATTTAAGGCATCTAATGTCTGAAGGAAAACAGAATAAATGCAGAGAGGATTCAGGGAATTGTTGAAAATTAAGAAAGAACTAAAAGTTTTAAAAAGATTTTTTTAAGGAATCAGGAGCCATGAAGTCTGAAGGAAAATGGATACTCCCTAATGGGAGAGAAATGCTGAATAAAGTGATAATGAGGCAAATATTAACTGTTTTACATCAAAAGAGTCATTGGGAAGTGCAAGCAATGTGTGATGTTGTGCTAAGAAAGTATGTCTGTGTAGGAATATACACTTTAGGGAAGCACATATGTAGAGGATGTACCATATGTCAAAAGGTAAATAAAAAGGTCTTCTGTAACCCATCTAGAGGGGGACGGGAGCCAGGGCTTTGACCTTTCCAAAGTATACAGGTAGACTTTACTGAGTTACTTGTTTGTTCTAATTGACCATGTGACTGGATGGGTGTAAAGCTTTACTGCAAGGGTTAAAGCAGGCCTTAGCGATTGAGTGGGATTTTCACAGCCCCTGGCACCCCTCCTCTTCTGGGAAGGTGGAGCGAATGAATCAGACATTAAAGAAGCAATTAACTAAACTAGTGTTAGAAACCCAACTTCCTTGGGTAAAATGCTTACTCCTACAGGTTTAAACAGCACCAAGAAAGGATACAGGAATTTTACCATATGAGATGCTGTTCAGATTGCCCTATCTGGACAGAAGGGATGAGATACCACAATTCAAAACAAGAGACTTTTCTTAAGAACTGTATTCTGGGGTTGTTCTGTTCTTTGTCATTTCTCAGGACCTGTGGGTTGTGGGCTCAAACCCCACCTTTGGAATTTCCCATTCACCACCATCACCCAGGAAACCGGGTCCTGATTTGGACCTGGAAAGAGTCAACTCCGGCCTGAATGGGAAGGACAATTACTAACCACTGAAACAGCCGTAAGAACTGCGGAAAAAGGTTGGACTCACTATACTCGAGTGAAGGCATCCGTCGACGCTAGTACCTGGGATGCTGTTCCTACAAAAGACTTGTTGGAAGTTGAAATTGAAGAGAAAAATCTCATAGTGGACTCTGAGCAGGATAAGAGCTTACAATTGTAAACTAACCTTTTATTTTCACAGGTAACTAACGTCTGTGACTTGTGATTGAGAGAAAGAACAGACCTATAGCGAATTGCAGTGCTCCCAAGGGGGGGTTGTTATAGTAGTAGTGTACATCTTATTTTTTGTATTGATAATTATTTGGAAACCTAAGGTTTAAAAATAATGACAGGGAAAAAAATGATTACTAATTTTGTTTTTAGTGATTCTAGGCCTCAGAGAAGGCCTTGGTCAATTGGCAACTTGCAAAAGGCATGACCAGATAATAGCAAAAACGGGATACCCCATCAAAATACGGGTGACTGTGACAGAGGGTTATGTACCACATTCTGTCACGTTTGATGTTTGTGAGGTGTTAGCTTGTGGAGATTTAAATGCCCAATGACAATTGAGCAGAGAGAACCAATAACTGAGAGAGACCCAACAGCCAGATTGAGAATACTGTATGGAAACAATCCTCTATTGCCATCAGAGAAAGGGAGAAACTCAAGGAGAAAACAGGAGAGAAAACAGGAGGCCCTCTGAAATGTGTCAGTTCAAACAAGGTATGGGGATGTGAATGCCTGGATAGAATGGGTCAAATATACCATCCAGAGTCTCAACCGTAGCTACTGCTATGCTTGTGCCTCGGGATGACCGATTGCCCAGATAGTGCCCTTCCCATGGGGGTGGACCAAAGACTCCCAAGGGATGCGATATATGATTGCATTGTACCAAGAAAAGACTGCCTGGGGAAATGAGGCCTGTAAGTCTCTCTTTGCTGTTCCTTGCATGATAACAATATCGCGGTTCCCCCTGCATTCTCTACAGCTATAGGTAACCATACAGCTTGCCTCTCACGGCAGGGTGTGAGTGCTACCTGGCATCTGGGAGAATTTGGCTTGTGCTATCAAGGACTTGATGGGAAACTGCTCAAGACTAGAGATCCCCAGGGCAGATCTCTGGTGGTACGGTGGAGGGGAGATCTTACGGTCCACCCTACCATCTAATTGGGAAGGCACTTGCGCACTTGTTCAATTAGCTATACCCTTCACCCTGGCATTTGAAAGAAAAACATCACAAATACCCAGAAGTAAAAGAGGCTTAGGAATATCATTTGATGATAGAGTATATATAGATTCTATTGGGGTACCTAGAGGAGTTCCAGATGAACATAAAGCCAGAAATCAAATTGCTGCAGGGTTTGAGTCACTGTTCTGGTGGGTAACAATCAATAAAAATGTGGATTGGATTAATTATTTCTATTATAATCAGCAGAGATTCATCAATTATACCAAGGATGCAATGAGAGGAATCGCTGAACAACTAGATGCCATCAGCAAAATGGCTTGGGAAAACAGGATAGCATTAGATATGATGCTCGCAGAGGAAGTAGGTGTGTTTGTGTGTGTAATACTGAGCAACCATTGTTGCACTCTTATACCCAACAATAGTGTCCCAGATGGCTCGGTAACAAGAGCATTGCAAGGGCTTACCACCCTTGCCAGTGAATTGGCAAAAAAAAAAATAAAAAAATAAAATAAAAAAAAAAAAATAGGCATATTTGCAACATTGATCGTAGTTGTAGGAGTTTTGACAGCCATTGGTTGCTGCATTATCCCCTGTGTAAGAGGACTAGTACAGTGGTTAACTGAAATCGCACTATTGAAACAAATGACCATGGAGCTAACACCTTACTCAGATAAGGAGATAATGAGGAGATGGAAAGCAAAGAAGAAGAAGTCTATCAAATTGCACCTTAGAGAAAGGTTTTGCAAAAATCAACAGTTTATAAAAAAAGAAAAGGGGGGAATTGTGGGAATAGAAATGTTGTTTTTGCAGAGTTACATTGTTTAGAAGGAGGGAATGTGGTACTGAGATATGCTTACAGTGATAAGAAAGTTTAGCAGGCGACCTAGTAAAATGCAGACAACCAGTCTCCTTAGGACAATTAGGTGAAAATCATGGTGTTAAGTCAAGTCAGATAAGTGAAGAAACATTACCACTTCAAACAGTAAAAATGTCAAAAGAAATTTGAAATTTAACAGGCCGGCAACTGAAGGCCATGCATTGTTTGTGAAGCATCAGATAGATTGTGAACCTGGATTACCCACTCAGTGGGGAAACAGGGGAGGGTCCTGCCATCAAAAGGTATATAAACTGTGTTTTGGAACTAGTAGATGCGCTCTCTCCTGCTTGTGGGGCGCCCGCCATTGCAATCGCGAATAAATTACTACTTCACTGAGATCCTCGCCTGAGCCTAAGTTATTGGCTACGGAGTGTTTCTCACAGCAGTAAAAGTCCCATTGATTTCAGCAGCAGCAGAATTCACAGCTGCAGCCTGACACATTAGCGTGGTTCGTACTGAGGGAGGGATGGTCACAGGGGGTACAGCTGTCTCTGAGGGGCTTTCTGAAAGTGCTACATGAGCCTGAAGTAAGCAAGCAGCAGGGAACATCGTTAAAAACGCACTACACTGAAGGGCTTTTTACTTCACGCTGCAGTATTACCTACCTACTCCGTACCCCTTCCCACCCACCACTTAGCTGCACTATTTTGTTACACTTGTAATTATTCCAGTGAGTAGATTCAGTAGGGTGGACTGTAAGAAGAGAAGCTTTAGAAAACCTCTAACAAATGCAGATCTCTGATAGTTTAGGATCCTTGATGTAACTGGCTTCAAGAAAATACCAAGAGATGCTTGCTGTCTGCTTTCCAAGCTATGCAGTGCAGCCTGCTCTGGTCCACAAGCCATGCAGCTTCCTTCTAGTAAAGGCTAAGCAGAACACATGAGTTTGTTGCTGGGGCCCAGTGAATGTTACCAGATTATTGCTAGATCAAATGTGCCACACAGCAATCCAGCTAAGGCATAAGCACAAGTGCCAACAATGCAGGCTTGCCATTGCAATAGTCCCTGTGCTAAGGAATTAGGTAGACACCTACGTGCAGTCCTCAAGAAGATTTTAATTTAAGTTGGCAAACAAAAAGGATGGGAAAAGACAAAGTTTCATCAAACATCACATTGAGATAAAGGCAAAGCTAGAAAGAAGATTTCTTCCAGGTCCCAGTGAAGTAACAAACACCAAGAACCAAGTTTTTGGAGGTATCAGGATTAAAAGACTGGGCAGCAGCATCATTGCTTTCAGACTGGTGATAGCTGATAAAGAGCTTGGCTGTGATAAGGCCCAAACTGGTCTATATGCAGACTCATTGCCAAATACCTTAAAATATCCTGCCTCTGCCATGGAGTTCTAATTTGATTCCATTAACTGCGTAGCGTATGTAGAAATGAACTTCAATACTACATTCATTTGGACACTTGATTCCTGTCTAACTGAAGTTATGAAGTATTATAACAAATCACTCCTTTTCTTTCTTGATTAGAAAATGAATGCAAAGTTAATCAGAGAGCGTAATATATGTTAATTAAATAAAATAGGGAGCTGCAGCTTAATCAAGTAAAATTGAATTTTCACTTTTTGATGCGAGTGGAAACATCAGAGACAGTGATGCAATTGAGGGAGAAAGGTCTAACCAAATACCAACTGAGCTTGTGACAGAATCTTGAGAAAACCTGTAAGTAATCACATGCATTCAAATCCCAGGGGAAGAACAGTCTTCCCACTTTTCTGGATTCTGTATAAAAGTATTTTCATACCTCCCAAGTTACTTCAGAATCAAGAAAGCTGCAAATTGATCCAACGGTGCAATTTAAGAAAAAAGTACGAACTCAATAGTCATTACTGATGCTAAACTGTAAGAAAATATTAAATATCCATTCTACCTCAAAACAGTAACTATTAAATTAAAGCAAACAATCCTTTAAAAGTAATTATTGCCACATCTTTAGTGCCCTTCTAGAATAATGCATTTCAGATATATCAAGAATAACATATTCTCTTGCCTGTAGCGCTCCCAGAGTCACAGTTTTCTTCGTAGCTTTTCCATTTTTTGCTGCTGATGAGCCACTTGATCCCGATATGGCATCGAATACTCCATCAATGTCAGACTGCTCCTCAGGAAGAAATCTGGAAAGGTGGTTCCGATAGGCATTGCTATCTGCATTTCCCATCTTTCCAACCTGAAGCAAAGGGAAATGGGAAAAAAAAAATGCAGATACTGAAGATTATTACAATGGTCACAAAAGATGCACCAAACAGTCTGACATGCCAGTGCAAGTTTTAGAAGAAGAGCAAATTACTAGCTTGCTAGGAAACTATTAGAACTACTTTTAAGTCTCCATGAATATCAAAACTACATAAACTTGAAGAATAACGGGTGCGAGCAGTAACTGTGCTTTAAAAAGCACATCTCTCTGCTAAGACCACCCTGTCTACCAATTCAAACGTCATTCAGGTCTTATCAAATGGAAAAACCAGTATGATTTAATGATTAAATGAGCTTGTACAAAGTGACCGTGAGTCTGTCAGCTGGAATGCATCAGTAACATGAAGGGAATAGTCTAATTATGGATTATTTATGACAGATTATGCTACATGTTTCTAATGCATTAACAGACTGAAGCTAGGTCTGCCAATAATACATGGCACTAAAACCCCATCACTCTTAAGATCACGTGTTTCTACAGACTCAATTCGGCAATCAATCAAAACGCTGCTAAGAAATACAGAGTAACCAAAACATTTAGGAGAAAGACTCAAGACCTAACACACAGCTTCGTATGAATTCAATAAATTGTTGGGAGCTGGTATCCGAAGAATTGTGTTGTGTTTTTTTTTGTCTGTTTTTATTTAATACCTTTAACGTACGCCTGTGGTTTCTCCCACTCTCAGGATTCACCTGCATTACTAATTTAACTTGCGTGTGTTTTTTAATGCACTGTCGAGGCCATATGCACCGGGTTTCTCCCTGGAGCAGCATGGCACAGACCTAAGTGCCCCAGGGGCCTGAAATCCCAGATTTCACTACGACAGACACTGCTGTGAATGGCCATCCCAGGGCAGACACGCTTCTGGGGTGACAACCCCAAAACGGGGAGAAACTGTATAATCTGCCCTTTTGTGTTTTCCTTTCCACAAACTCCGCATTATTTCTGGCACATCACTTTGGGTTCTGGTTTACCACTTCCACACAAACCTCATTTTCTAGGCAAGGCCATAAAACAGCCCTTCAGAAGCGTCAGAAGCTCTTTGCTTAGGCTAACCCAATGTGAAATTGGCTGATAAGCAACTGTACACAGGAGTCTGGGTTGGGCTTATTTACCTTAACTGAGTGCTACAGGCCCAAAAGCCTTGCTTCCTGCAAGGAAGATGTCGATCGCGGGATAAATGCCAAAAGGTTAATGGAAATGGCAGGAACCTGGAAGAAAAAGCCGTGAGGACATGGTCACTATCAGGGAACTGAGGAGCAGGGCTCTGGGCAGGGAGGGCACCGCTCTTAGGAAGGGGGCGACCCAAGGCGAGGAGTCCCCAGCAGGGAGCCAGGCACAAGCCTTGGCGATTTGCAATTTTCTAGCTTTATTTCCCCAAAGCCGAGCCCGTTCTTCCCCACCAGATCTGCAAACCCCCTCGGCGTGTCCCCCATCCCACCTCGGGGGCTGAAGCCGAAGGGAGCTGAAGCCAGCCCCGCAGCCGCCAGCCCCCCTCTCCCCTTACCGGCAGGGCGCCCCATGCCGCCACCTCGCTGCGGAAGCCCCCCCCAGAGCCTTCTCCGCCCCCTCCAGGCGAAACCCCTGGACCTTTACACCCCCCCCGGACCTTTACACACCCCCCAGTACCCGACAGCCGGCGCCCCCCGGCGCCTCCAGGCTGCCGGGGCGGAGCGGAGCGCGGCGGGGGAATAGCGCCGGGCGGCACCGCCCCTGAGGCGGTGGCGGGGCGGGACTGGGGCGTCTCAGAGCGAGAAGGAGGGAGGCAGGCGGTGGCAGGGAGCTGTGGAGAGACTGGTGTGGCTGCTTGGGAGCCCCCGAGACTGGGGGCGGTGTGGAAAGGGCTCTCACCGCTGACTGGGGGCTTCCCCCCGGTTAAGGGGCTGTCCCCACTGACCAGGGGCTCTCCGCTCACCTCAGCCTCACGGGCAGCTCGGCCCTAAAGCGTGGCCTGAAAAGAATCAGAGTGGCCTGAGTTGGAAGGAACCTCAGTTTCAATCCCGCTGCTATAGGCAGGGATGCAACCCACTAGATCTGGCTGCTCAGGGCCTCATCTAACCTGGTCGTGAACACCTCCAGGGATGGGGCATCCACAACCGCTCTGGCCAACTCACTACTCTCTGAGTGAAAAATTTACTTCTAACCTCTAAATCTCCCCTCTTGTCTTTTAAAACCATTCCCCCTCATACTTTCAATATCTGACTGAGCAAAGAGTTGTTCTTCCATCTTTTTTATAAGTCTCCTTCAAGTACTGAAAGGTTGCAATGGGATCACCCCTGAGCCTTCTCTGCTGTAGGCTGGACAGGCCCAGCTCTCAGCCTTTCTTCATAGGAGAGGTGCTGGGGGCCCCAGACCTGGATGCAGTGCTCCAAGTGGGGCCTCACCAGGGCAGAGTAGAGGGGGAAAGAGTGGTGAAAACTCAGAGGTTTGCGTGTTGTGGCTGGGGAAGAGCGACTGCCCGGGGTGGTGCCCCTCAGAGAGGGTTAAGGTGCCTTCTCAGGTAGTTTTCAAGGTATTCAGTCAGGCAAAATGCCTTGGCATTGGGGAGAAAATATATATAAAAAAAAAAAATCTCAATGAGTTGGTTAAAGCTTTATCTTATGGCTGCCAAAATCACGCCAGGCTGGAAAGTAAAGGCCATACAAGTGCTGAGAAGCAAAGTCATCATCTGCCCTTCACTATGAGGCAGAAATACTTGGGAAAAAAAACTCCAAGTGGTTGAAATACTTGTCCCCAAACTCACTTTTTTCAGATCGATAACTGGTTCTTTCCACCTCAGTTATGTTACTTCAGCAGCATTCCCCTTGTACTTGCGGTCACTGAGTTTGGTTCCTGTAATAAATACATTGAGGCCTTTGCCTTATTAGCAATGATGCCTTGCCTGTGGTTTGTCTAGCTGTAGTTTATTTTCAGCCAGACTTTGACAAGAAGCATCCTTCCAGCCAAGGGGAAAATGTGCCCATGCATATTCCCCTCAAAGCAGTGTCGGTTATATTCTCACAATCAGATTCTATGGGGCAGGTTAGCATCTTTGGCCTGTGACTTGAAATAACAGTCTGATCTGTGTCTTTTCAACAGTTCCTTTATTACAAAAGAAAGAAAATGATATAGTCATGGCAGAGTTCCGGCCTGTTTTATTCTTTTGTACCAAGGAAAAATTCTGATTCGGTTAACTTCCCCAAATACCCAGTTTTCTTAAAATTTTGTGGTATACAAAGCTTTATAAAAACATATAGCATATTCTTGTTGCCAGTTCAGAGTTAGAAACACGTTGAGCAGCATTCCAAGATGGTCATGGGTGAATAAATACCTACTGATCCTGGTTTGCCTTGGTCGTCACTAGAGCCACATAAGATAACCAGGTTGTGTCAGCGGGATCAAGACATAGCAAGTCAAACCTGAGGAAAGGAATAGGAGAATTCATGTAATGTGTGAGCACAAATTCTGCAGTTAATCGAAACTGCTTGAAGCTTATTTGTCCACACGGTGGCGAAATATGTTAAGAAAGTTAACTGTGAAGCTTACATCGGGTGCTTCAGCTGCGTTGAAAATGTGATTCTCAGGTTTATTGGCATATATGTGGGAGTAAAAATTCTTATGATAAATTATTTTAATCTCTTTCCTACGAGCTCGGTAAACATAATAAGTACCACGAGGACAAAATTCCATTCCTGATAAAGCTCCTTCCCTGGGCTACATAAGCACTTACTACAAAGTCTGCTGCGATTGTTTGGTTTCTGTCAGAAGTAATGAATTTCCAGCTTATGCCTAAGGAGAAAGGGTAAACATACAGAATAAATAAAAGCAAAATTTTTGAATTCAAGTTAGTTTTTTCTTCTTTTCTTTGACACTTTGGAAGTCTTTTTTTTTTTTTTTTTTTTTTTTTTTCCTAAAGCTTGCATTTTGTATTGTATCTCTGTCTTTATGATGTATTTTCTTGACTGGAAATACAGGGCTAGAGATTCTAGTCTAACTGACCTTATGCTAAATCTGTTTGTCAGCATCTCTATGATCTTCACAAATGCATGGTAATTTCATGACCTCTCTTGTCTAACTGGTGATCTCTGAATCAGTCAAAGCTACTGGAGGATATCTGGCCTTCCTCAGCTCCAAGCAGCTGCTTTTGCAGAGAAGACGTGATGTTTTGCCCTTTTTTGTTTAAGTCTTGCCCACGTGTAACAGAGGTGACTCTTGGTTTATTTACCCTGCCTGCCAGTCTAAACTGAGCTTGCTGTAGCTACTGGATGGCACTTGGCCACTTGCCTGTAGCACTAAGCTGTAATCTACAGCGCAGATGTACTCCTCAAGCCACAGGATACTAACATTAAATTGCACAAATTATGCTCCTACTGTGGGGGAATTTCCAAGACTAACAATTTCACACACTAACACCTTTTTGTATAATCTTTTAACACCAAGAGTGCATAAAAACAAGCTAGAAATCAGGTTCATAAGTGTAATAGTTTGTAACACTCTGTAAATGACTAGTCACTTCCTCAAATGTATTTTCAGATGCTATAGTTGAGTTAGGTTTCTCAAGCCACTTTGTTTCCACCAGTAAGAAAGAGAGAATACACCAAGAAGCCTTTTAAGGACATTCAAGAATATACTGATATATAAAAAAGTGGAGGAAAGAAGAAACAACAGAAATTTGGAAATGTTTGTGGCTATTTTTATGAACTAGTAATAGATGTGAATTTATTTGCAGAGTGCAAAAAGCACACCTTCAAAACCCCTTTTATTAAAAAAAAAAAAAAAAAAAAAGTATGCTTTAGACTTGTATGAAATTATTAAATTGATTTTTGGGGGTTTTATTAGTTTGCCAAGACTATGACCTTCATTCCTAGTAATTCTAACAGTACTGCTTTTCAGTTTAAGGAAGCCACTACAAAATAATGACCTGGAATGTAAACAGTGTGTTGAGCACCCTTGTTTATATCAAGCACATTTGTCTTACCTAGATTATCTTTTAGCTTCTTTAAAATTATATTTTTCCTACCTCGAGTAAGAACAGAGAGAAGTTTTGTTGTTGATCAGTCTTGTACACATATGTTAAGATCATTACTCTCTGATGGCAATGATGCAGAGAATCATTGCCGTTTGTCATTGATACGATACATAGCTTCCACTGTGGTAACATATTTTTTTATTATTATTATTATTAAAGGACAGCTTAGAATGGGACCCTACTGTGCCAAAGACTATGCAGAGAGATATCGATGACTTCTGTTCCAGAGAGCTTATTGTTAGTTGCATTCACATGAAGGAAACACATTCAATACTTCTAGCTTCCAATTATTACTCAGCATTTTAGTTTCCTTACATTGCTTAAATCTGGCCTTTGCCAACAAGGTCAAACCTGACCTCTTGAAAACAGTGAAATGAGATTATAAAAACCTTGTTTTGGGTTCTATTGAACACAAAAGTCATTGTACCTCTTTTTAATGCCGTTACACTCTGTGTTTTCTATTCTGCTTGTAAACTTGATTTTTGGCAGGCCACCTACACTAACAGTAAGTTAAATCCTTTAAAAAAATAATAAAAAATAAGTTGATATTTGATGAAACTTGTTGTAGGCTTAGGCCACTGGTCATCTTGCAGGGTGACCTCAGCACCAAATTCCTTTGACTTTAAAAGGTATTGTCTTAACCCTACCCTCTGATGCCCTTTTATATATGTATTATTCGTCTCTGCATTTAATTGGCTCCTGTGACAGTCCCAGCCTTGCAGCCAGTTACCTGATTTCTCTTCTGTTTTTTTATGAGATTGCCATATACGGCTAAAAGAAAGACTCTGACTAATCAGAGCTGTGGCCTGTAGGTAGTCACAAAGGAAGTTGTGGATTTTGCAACTCTTTGTACTTCCCTTTACAAAAACCTCTGCCTGCTAGTAACTAGCTCCCTTCTATAAAAGGGCAAAAAAAAGGGTGCAGTCAAGAGGTTAATCTGATCATGAGTAAAGATAGTAATATGTGGTATCCTAGAAAATGTATTTACAGGTGGGATGAAAGCTTCCTGCTACAGCTTATTAACTGATGTCACCAAGAAGCAGCCTCTGTGTCTACAGCAAAACTGCAATGCCTAATTTTACTAAACTAAATTGTAGTGTGTGTTGCAGCTATGTAGATCAGAAAGATTACTGGGGACTGTGGACCAGATCCTGACAACTAAAAGAAATGCACAGCCACAGTCAGGAGAGAATATGAATATGAAGTTCTCCTGGGCTCCCCTGGCCTGGTCTGGTAACAGACTAGTTTGGTGTCTCTCTTACTGAGTGTTTCAAAGGCAAATGCCTTCACATTCCCTGGGTTCACGGTTTGATATATAGCACTTTTAACTTCTTTCATAGCAAGGCCTGTGGCCCAGGTTGGAGGTTTTAGAAACCATCTTTAAGAAACCATCTGCTATAATCTTCATACAAACCAGAGTAAATTTAACAAGGCAAATCATCCTTAACAAGAGAACCTTCTACCAGAAACATGCAATCTGTGAACTTGTTCAAGGGTGTTTGTTCTAACAAGGAAGTTTTTTGTGGAGACTGGCAATTCATAACTTTAACTGCTTCCGTATAGAGAACTTGAGGATGAAAAGCAGAGGATCTGCTTGCTCCTGACGGAAACAGAAGGTCTCACCCCCTCAGAGCACAGCCTGCATGTCATCTGTTTCAGTTGTAATGCACACAACACCACGAGTAGCAGCTCTGTGGCCCGGATTTTTGGAAGTGTATGTGAATGTTGATAGTCTCACAGTGTGCTATCACCATTGTGATCTCGTGGTCAGACTGGTCTACGGGACCAAAACCCTGGAAGCAGTAACACCAGCAGAGACAGTAAGGTGGAAATACAGTGAAGGAATCAAACAAATTTAGAGCATTGTCTCTAGAAAACAAAACAGAACCAAAAAAAAAAAAAAAAAAAGAGGAAAAAAAATGAGTAGGAGCTGGGAAAATTTCTGTAAAATTCCTGAAGTCATTTTCACCCTTGTTCACCTCTGTAACACATACAGACTCCCTCTTTTTCTGCAAACAGTGGGAGAAAAACCCTTACAAGCATCTTAGATCTGTAGTTACTAGTGAAGGAAGTCTTTTTCAGCAGGACAGCTGTGTTTCTTGGCACTGTACAGTATTTACACCCACCATGTAACAAGAAACCAGTGTTTTGTCATCTGCTGTATGGTGAACTCTTAGGTTTTGAAAAGAAGTGATGGAAAGACGATCAGGACTTGTGGGATTTTAAAAGCTATTAAGTAAACTAATAAATTTCGTGCCATTTTTGGTTGTTTGTGCGACTAGTATTGCACTGCCTTTATTTGTTACTTGTGGCTTCTTTTCCCGTAACACTACCTTCTTCCCTACTGCACAGGTTGGATTTTATCTATTAGTTTTCTTTTTGTGCAGTGCAGTGTACTTTCTGGTGTAGCTGGCCTTTTTTATTGCTTTCCACATTTCTGTCCAGATTAAGCGGAATGTGGCTATCTGACTTCCAAGTCCTTGGCTTACTTTTCTCTGAATAAACAAGAGACCGTGATGGGATGATCATCTCCCAAAGCAATAGTTGCCAAACCAGCACAGATTAGGACAGCACCCAGTTGTTGCTGACTGCTCTGTGCTGTGATTTCTGCTCCAGGAGTAATTGGTAGAAGTAATAGTATTCAGCCGTGTCCCTGCACGTTTCTGCATAGCCAGATTACTCCAATCACTTACATTTTTTTTCCCCAAATTTTGGGCTATCGAAGCCTGGTTCTGGAGCAGCTCTCTGTGTGGTCCATCTGTCCTGCCTACTGGAGCCATAGGCTCTGAGAGGGAAGCAGGGCAGCAAATTGCTTCCATCTTCTGTGTTTATTCCCTGTACAGTTAGTCCGGTACCTTTGCAAGACGAGTGTGGCAGATCCATCTCTCGCAAATGCTTTCCAGAGCATACCAGCTGTTTCTGTGTTCTGTTTCCAAGCTGTATTGACCTGCTCTAATAGAGTGAAGCTGTCAATAATAAATGGACTTAAACCTTAAATCCTACCTTTCTCCTCAGTATAATGAACACAGTCTTGAGGATCAGGCTGGCTTTTTACAGCTTGGGTCTTGTTATCACACATGCAGGAGGCAGTATGCTTTTATACTAAGGTACCATATCAAGAGATCAAGATCATAACAGGAAGCTGCGATAGCTTTGAGAGGCTGCTGTGCGAGTCACCTGCAGGCTGGGACTGGCTCACAGCATGCGTGTCCCCAGCAGGGCTCAAGTTGTTGTTTGAAGTGGTGATTTCCAACACTAAAAATGTACGTCACAGACCAGAGTCCGGACCAACAAGCTCTGGCAGGCTTTTGTGCTGGTATCTAACATGGGAAAATGGGGATTCAAGGTGGGGAGGGAAGGAAGGTGAGGCAGCGAAACACTGCAAATGGTTGGGAGCCACTGCGGAAGAAGAAGAAGGTCCTGATCTAGGGGGTAGGAAAACCCTCCCTGTGTATTCCCCTTTCAGTTCAGAGCCAAGCAATCACACAAAATAAAACGTGCTGATCCCAGCAGCTCGAGGTGCACCAGAAACCGCCTCACACACAAAAACCCAGCTGGCAAGAGTGCGAGGCCACCACCAAAACTGTGTTGAGTGATGCCTTCTGCCACTGAGGAAGAGCAGGCTGTTTCTATGGCTACTGCTGTCTCTCTGCCTCTCTCAAACACAAGTACCATTGGTTCTGATGTGATCATGTATTATAGAAGAAGATAACCCACATACTTCTTTACATTGCAGCATTTGAGCTAGTAGCCACTTGACTTCCGATAATAAAAGCATTTTCCACTTAGGGTATTGTTACAAATGGGTAGGATTTTCCTCATCTCTGATTTATAAATGCATCCAGTTGGGCTCCAAAATCTTTGTTCTGGTTTCCATGACAACAGGTATGATTTTTGAGGCTATTTCTTCCCCTTCATCTTGGGTTGGAAAGAGTTGTTCCCCTTCCAGTAACAGTGCGATGGGCAAGCAAAACAACTGTCTTGAAGGCAGATCTACAGCCCTGAAACCAGCAGCTTCAGCCAGTTGTCTAACATGAGTGAGGATGTATGAGAAGAGTGGCACTTCTCACCTGACATGGGCTTGAGCTGGATTTTTTGTCCTCTGGAAGTCAAATTCATGTATAACTGCAGGGAATGTAGTGATATATCACACTGCTGCCTACAAACTTAGAAAGTGATCCATTAGGCCCAGGTATCACCGTGTTTCTGTGTCAGATGATGACCAAGCAAAGCAAATTTAGTCATCCACTGATGTAATGAATTTATAGATGAATTAGCACTGAATGCACACTACTGTTTGAAGTGAACTCTCATTACCTGTATGTCTTCCCTCGGTTAATCCTATTTTCTGTGATAGGTTGTTAGGACTGGATCAGTCACAGGCTGGCCATATTCCTTCAATGTGAAACTGTGTTTGAGGCCGTGGTAGGTAAAGGCATCAAAATAAAGCACAGCTGCTTCGCCAGGATTTTTCTATCATTTCCTCGCACTTACAACAATTTGAGGAAAAATGAAGATAGAGGGCTGCCAGTACTCTAACGTCCAAGTGGTGTAGTAGCTCCAGATTATTTCTACAACCCCCTCAGAAAGTCCCAGGAGAGGCTCTCTTTTCCTGCAGAGAAGAATGACACCGATGCCTACATCTCTGGGTACCAGGTAGTAGGTACCCCAAACACGGGGTCCACTAAGGTTGCAGATAAATGTTCACCGTATTGAGTTCATCCTAATGTTTGCTGGTTGCTGAAGAGTAAAAGGCACTATGGCTCCATATAGGAAGGTATCATTATATTATGGTGTGACAATCTCTGATAATCTTAATTATATTTGAGCCAGGAGCAGCATGATAGACTACCCAGCTGTTCCTTTAACCAGTGCAGGGTTGCTCCAAGTATTTAATCCTTAATGCTGGAGTTTCCAACATGGATTTTTGAGTGAAAAATCCAAGTGTTGGTTAGATATTCTCCATTAAGACAGAACGCAGGAATATAGCATGTAGGCTTATTTCATCCATACTATTCTAAAAAGCCTACGTTAGAGGCTGATCCTTGAAACAAAGAACACTTAAGGCCCTGACCATGCGATACCTAATGTGGCTCGTGGCGGGGTGAGATTGCCATAAGCATTATTGAACGCCAAGCACAGTTAAGTGAATCGATATCATGACACACTACCAAAAGTGGCTCAGTGATTGCCTTAAATAACCATGCACAGGTTTTCCCTTTTGTCATGCCTAAAACACGATGATCAGCCTGCTGTAACGGCAAGTCCCTTGGTGAGAATGAAGTCATAGCAGCACAATTTCTAGCTGCACAGCCAACCAGAAACAATATAAATGCACTTGTTTTCTCTGCCCTACTGTTAGATGCAGGGGAATAAAAAAGTGAGTCATTTGCTGGAAAATGTACTGATCCTGTGGCAGCAGGATGACTTGTAAGAAAGCTCTTGCATTTTGTAAAGGCTGACTATGAGCGGGGAGAGATAAATTTTTGCTTTGACTAAAGCAAAGACACAAAAGTATACACAATTGAAAAAAGTGAAATGTATGCAACTGCATGTTGCATTACCTTTCCAGATACCAACTCTTCATTCTCTATTTTTCTCTCACACGTTGAACACTTCCATGGTTTTCATGTTCCAGGGCACTGGAAAAGACATGATTTTTACATGTTTGTGTTCATTTCTAGTGGTACAACATCATGCAATATGGCACCCCACAGAAACATTTTGTTGAATGTCTAAATTTTGTTTGTGGCCCTGTATGAAGGTTCCCCCTCATAGGTAACCAATTCCTGCTTTTCACGTTGTCCAGGGCAAGTTTAGAGGAAATAAATGTAACATGAGTTAGTCATCCTTAAATAATCTTATCATAAAGAACAGGGATCCCTGTGTTAACAGGAGGCTGATAATAAGCTCTGCAGTGCTATCTTCAGTAATGCTTTTCCCATGACTTGGAATAAATTTATGAGCTGTAATTTATTTGTTTATTTGGTTTTGCTCAGTGGAAGTATTTACTGGCTGGTTGCTGAAGTATTAATTATTCTTGTAAAATGGTATAGTACTGTCTTAGGCTCACACACATAGAAGCTAACATAATTTGAAACGTGATAAAATTAATAAGATACCAACTCTGGTGTGGCGTCTGCGATATGTATTTTGTGTGCTGTAGGGTAACTGATGTTAGAAGAACAGGCGAGGAAGCAAAGAATGGGGTTAAAAAAAAAAAAAGAAAAAGCAGATCTGATCTAACCCATCATTTTTTATTTTTGCAGGCGTCTGCTGTCAGACCATCTGCAGCTGTTGTCGGTCACCCAATGATCTGACCTCTGAGAGGCAGAAAGCCATTCTATTCCCTAGCTGATCATTCAAGTCTTTTTATTCTAGCATTTAAATTGGATTTTATTCAATTTTGTTTAAATCCATTGTATCAACACTTAATGAACGCAAGCCCTCCCACTCTGCTCTGTGGCTTCCCATTGTGTACCAGCATTTTATTCTTTTTTATGTCCTATACATATTCATTTCCATTAATCCTTCATTCTAATGTGCGTTTCTCCTTCCCATTCTTTTTCTCTTCCTTATTATTATTAAATGCCTGAATGGAACTTAAATGTCAAGAAAGTCCTGAGAAATATCATGTACCAAAGGAAAACATGGTATTTTATGTTTAAAAAGCCCTGAGCATATCAATATCTACTTTTCAGGCTGTGGGGGCTGCTCTGGCCACCTCTCAGAAGAAATGGATCTCTTGAGAGAAATAGATTTATGTTGTTGATGGTGTTTCAGTTTTGAACTTTGATACTGAAATTGGAGGTTCAGAAATGAAGCCTACCTTCTCTCCGGTTCATCTCTGCCCTGACATGATAATAGGTCACTGGGAACAATCAGCTGGTTTCATTAATTATTAATGCAAACACATGGCACAAGCAATTTGGAGAGCACTGCGTACATGTGGGTCTGCTGATGGAAGCGTAAGGGGGAGGGAGAGGGATGTGATTATTCATCTGAAAATAATTGAGAGTGGTAAGTGCCAAAGAGGAGGGGGATCAGCAGATCAGGCTTTGGTATAGCTGGAAGAATAAAATGATATTTTACTTTTCAGTTAGATCCGTATCTTAAGTTACATTAAAGTGAAAATGCTTAGAGCAGGGCATGCAGTTCACATGAGTATTAGGTTACTGAGCTGAAATGGGGCCAGTGCAAATATGCCTTTATAAACCTTCACGAGAATTCAGATACTTGCTGAGCGTGTAGAAAAAGCAGTAAGCTATTCACTGCTGGGGAGCTGCGTACCTAGGCAAACAAGAAGAATATAACACTCCTCTGTGTGCTCTAGTAGCCTACTTGTGTATTTATGATGAGGGGAGAAAACAGAAGTCTTGAGACCGCAGAATAAGAGCAGCTGTATGATATGTGCTATTTGAAGGTGACCTTTTCTCTACACCAGCCTAGGCAGTCTGAGGACCAGCAACGCTTACTGCTGCCATTGAAAGGAAACAATGTGAATTTGTACAAAAATGTGATGCAGTCGGAGGGGTCGTGCCTGTGCTTCCATCTCTGTTTGCTGCGTGGACACCGTGCATCCCAGCAGGAGTCCACGTGCTGGTAGATCCCGAATGGCTGCAAAAAGCAAGAGCAGAAGCAGCTCTCTATACATTTTCTCTCCGTTTCCCTAAAGAAAAAGCCTACATTGGCACAACAACAACATCAGATCCGAACGTCTTAAAGAACAGTTCCTCAGAGAGTGGTTCAAAACCCCCACCCACGTTGGTGGTGCATCGCCAGGGCCTCCTCTAGATGTAGCCTGGAATTGGTACTAAGGAGAGCTTTCCCTCCCTGTGGCCACCAGCCCCAGAAGCAGAGCTGGCCATGCCACAGCACCATACATGCCATCCATCCCATTTCTGTTCTCCAGCCGTGCTGTCTGGGAGGGCTGTGAAGGCTAACAACACCCCCAGCCTGCTCAGCAGGGCTGGCACAGCAGAGAATAAAACACGAAGCAGCTTTCCTGCGCCTAGGCTGAGGCAGCTCCTGCAGTGCCACGGATTAATGAAGCTCCAGACTGTCTGATGGAGTTTTTCCCACAGAGCAAAATATTAACTAAGGCAATTGATTGCATTTTCATTTCTTGGGGGAGCGCTCAGCCCACACACCCTATTGTGCGTCTGATCACAAAGAAACGTCTGCTGTAGCAATATTGTGTTATCTCGCAGGTGCTTTGTGATACATCTCGAGCTGTTGCCTCTGATGTCAAAAGGAAATGGAAATTCTTGCTCAGAAGACCTACCTGAGAAAGAAATGTGTTCTTGTAAATTCAGTGTCCCAAATGTAGGAAATTGCAGTAGCCGCTGCTGAAAAATGCTGTGATAAATCCCCATCCATCTGGAATATTGCCATAATCCACTACAGATTGCCAATTAATTGCACACTTAGTTCTATGTAATAAGGCCAGATAATAGGCTGTATTAGCCTAAGTCCCCCAGAGGCGGTGGAAATACATCACAATATTCTTAAATAGCATATTTTTATTAAAGCAATGCCTGCAAGCTCCTCTCTGCTACTGGAAACCTTTTGTGCTAGGAGTTGTACGTGTAATGAAAGGCCAGATTTACAGCACGTACTCCTCTTTAGTGAAGCACTTAATTGCTTACTTCGAGTACCATTTTAAATAAACTGATCTCATCTATTTTCTAATTAAACATGGGAAATAATTTTTATAGTGTGGCTGGTTGGGATACATAGTTATTAAATCCTCCTCTAGTGCCAGAGAAACTGTAAATAATCTGTCTTGCCCTGTTAAGATTAAAATGAGTCTTTCTGTATTGCAGAAAGATACCTTTGAACAGCGGTGTGTGAAATATTTAGGATTTTGAGCACATATATAAATCACATTTTTTTTGCTAACTTATGGAGAACCTTTAGTGGCCAGTTTGGATTTAGACTAAAATTCCTATTCATTAAACCAATTACCTATTGGGAAGATGTCATTTTTTAAAACACGTTGTTTTTTTGTTTGGTTGGTTGGTTGGTTTGTTTTTGTTTTTTGAATTAATTAAGCTTTTCCCTGCTCTACCAAAGAAATATAATTGATGACCTTTTCCTGCATGCCACAGTTTGATTGTAGTATTTCTGGGAAGCAACTCAGTAACCTGTAGTTGTTCTCCAGAGGGGGGGGAAATAAACATAAAAATAAATTAACTATATATTTTAAAATTAAGGCAGTGTCACAGGACTGGTAGGGTCTAAGGAAAAAATGCATCTTCCATTTACTGCTGCAGGTAGTTCTTCTCTCATACCCCTGACAATCATAAGAGAGTCATGTAATTTTTTAAGCTTATTTTTTTCTGATTATTTTGTGTTTGTCTTGTATAACTGGGGACATTTCAGTGTATGAATTCATCATACAAGGTATAACTCTGTACATCCATGGCAAAATCAGTAGCGTAGTACCAAAGGGAGCTGCACTGGTGCAGAGAGATGATTTTAACTTGAGTTGCTCTCAGAAAAGTTTGGGATCTATTCAGAAGGCTTTGCGGGGCTCTCAGTGAGACCAATTTTCTTTGCTGCCCCCCTCCTTCGCTTGAGGTTGCCACCAGACTGATGAGGCAAAGCTTCTGTCGTGAGCCACTCGCTGTAAGAAAAGCCAGATTGAGCCCAGGCCTCCCTGCCCCCTCATGTATTATACATCTGAAGCTCATGATAATTTCATAGGGTTTCATTCTCTAAAAATAGTCTCTACGTGACCTAGGGCCTCTGGATCTTCCTAGCAGCAGGCACCACATAAATTAAGCATCCAGTTCCACCTCCACTTGTGTGCTACTGGCTCAGCTTAGTTTAACTCCCAGGAGGGCCAAACCCACGTTTGCCAGTTGCAAGAATGGCAACGTTATTTATTACCCCTGGAAGCATGGAGCAGTTGTGTCTGTTGGGGGAGTCATCTTGGGTTTAGCCTGCCACAAGCCCTGGTGAAAGAGAGATTATGATTTGAGCTGAATTGAGCTTCTCTATGTTTATAGGGAGAGGTCATTATAATAGATTACAATGAGATGGGTGGGTTTTCCCCTCCCAGGGTGGATTTTGTTTGCTTGTTTTTCTGTTCTCAAACTATTTTAATACTATCAAATTAGAGAATTTGATTCCTACAATACAATGAAGGATATTAGTAATGAGAGACCACACAGAACTGCCACCATCTCCTCTCAGTCCTGAAGAAGGCCTTTCCTTGCAGCCAGCCTGGGAAGCTGGGCATCGCTTTAGACACACCTGCCAGCCTCCAGAGCAGGGTGTGGAAATGCTGATTGGAGCCATTTGATCTGGGTTGGTATTCGAGTGCCTCGAGGAACTCACTCCTACAGTGCCAGATAAAAACATTGGTTCCTTGCACATCACTGATTGCAGGAGATTTCTTTGACCTTCAGCTACAAGGGGAAGACTTCCTAAATCTGAAGTCTTCTGAATATTATAACAGAGCTCCAGCAAAACTCCCCCCTCCACTCCCTTTTTTCATTTTTTTTCTCTCTCTCTCTCTCTTTTTTTTTTTTTTTTTTTTCTTCTTGTTTTCTTTACAAAAAGCCACTTCTGAATAGAAGGGATTTTCCTCTAACCAGAAGACATGGACTCACTAAGCATGGCAAGTTGGCAGCACCTTTCTCATGTCCAGCTGAAAGGTATTTTAACATCTGATCACCATGCTGCAAGAATACCTAATAAACAACCCCTGAGTGCCTACTGGCAGAAACAAAAGGAACCATATGCTGTCAAGTTAGCAGATGTATGTGAGTGTCTGTATACAGAAATACACACATTATACAGCTATACACACGTGCAGACCATTACATGTGTATATGTTTATACATAGGACATTAACATAGCATTCTTTTTTTCTTTGCTGTGCTGATGGATTCATTTCAGAACAAACAGACCAAGCCCTCAGCCACGTGAAGCATTCGAGTCTTGAAGTCTTGGTCATTTATCTAACCAAAGTTACGGGTCTGTGTTCTTCCAAATATATAGCCACCCGTTTGTACTCCTCATGCAGTATATTGTTGAGAGGCAACTTTTCTGTTTGGATGCCACAAGTGAGTGATAACAGGAACTGACAAATCTCATTCTGTGTGTAGATCTGCCATACGTTTCACAATCAGTATTTTTCCCCCCACCTCCACAACCCCACTCTCGTAAATTTAAATCAAAGCCCATTCAGGACTTTTCATTTCAAGTGGTTTCATCTTACTGTAATTACCGAGCCATGTGAGGGATAGCTAAACAATTGTCTGCACAACAATGGAGATGAAATAAAGATAGCCTCTAATTAATTCCATCTAGGTTATAATTAATTTTGACTGAGTTGCTCAGGACAATATCCCTAAGTCTCACAGACTTCTATAAAGAGGACTGATCGCCAGCTGCTGCTCTTTGATTTTTAAAGCAGATGGGGCTATTTCCAGCTATTGCTTAAAAGGAAATGATGAGGATGTGAGTGGAGTGATTGAGTGGCTTTGAATAGGCCCTGGGGTAAGACTGCTAGAAGGGCTGCTCTGAAGGTACCCTAGTCCCTGACAATGTCTTTTGAGGACTTTGTAGTTATTTTGGTGTAATTTTCCTTTAATTTTTTAGGAATTTCTTTTGTTGTTGTTGTACTAGAAAAAGTAAAAATATGTGATGCAATGTTATGTTAGTAAACATGTTATCATATGCTGCATGTTAAATCTGCTTTAGGTCCTAGTGCTAAAGGCAATGAAGAAGGGCACACAAAAGGATGTTTCTAGTCCTTTTCACTTTGTAGAAACAAAAGATGAAAAATATCCGTTAAATCATTCTCCTCGTTCTGTCTGTTAATACAGAATTGTTCCCTGCTTTGTATACAGCAAGCTTTGGTGAATAATTCATTAAAACTAATTTATCTGAGAAGTTCTGCCACTTGCTTTGTTTGCTGACAAATTGCAAAATTCTCAGAGGGATTTGTTTTTAGAAATTATTAATTTTTTTTTTTTTTTTTTTGAATAAATAAAACCTAGCTTGCTGGTAGGCTGGGCACGTTGAAAACAGCAGATACATGAAGTGACAGTCTGTCAGTTTTTCAAGTAACACGGTACTTAGATTTCTTTATTGGGTAGTTTCCAGAACTAGCTAATACCTGGGCATGTTCTTAGTCATGCACTGAAATGCAAAAAAAGGAAAACCAAGCTTTGAAATTAGTTTTCTCTGGGTGTAGAATGGCTATAGAAGAGAGCAGAGATATGACAAATTTGGGGATAAAATGTTAAAATGCTGATAGCCACTCGCTGCAACTGTTAGTGGGGGGAAAATGACAAACATCTGCCCTGTTATGATATGCGTTAGGGAAGCTGATGATTTAAATATTAAACGGTGGTGTATCAAATACTTTTCCTGTGAACTTCTTATTCAGTTTACATTTTCCTGTGCTGAATTTCCTGCTTACTGTTTTTTTTGTTTGGCTGCCTTTTCAGTGTTGTCTTACATATGCTGTCCTAACAGTTTTTAAACACCCAGTCCTCTGTGCTTTTGGAGGTGAAATTTGCATGGAAAGCAATGCTGAAAAGTTTCTGTGAAAGATCTGTTAATATGTGTGAGAAGAAACTGCCAAAAAAATGAGAAGAGCCATAAGCAGGGTGGTTGGAAGTGGTATAAAGTGCATGTAGCCTAATCTTTCTGCTACAAATCTGTTCTTGTGTGCTGTTTATCCTGAGGCAGAGGACTCGTGGTCCTGCTCTTAGACCATCAGTGTAGCTCGCATGTGGAAAACCAGCCTGCATCATCTGCTTGCTTTACCTTGTACATCATAGTTCTGATGTATATTTAGTGTTGCTTTTTCTTAGGAAGTCTATTTCCTTATGTGTGCCACAGCACATTGATTTTTGAAGTAAGTGAGATGATTATAATGCTCTAAGCTGCCTTCTACGTGACAGAGGCCACAAGGTTTCACCCAGTGCTTCTTGCATTGAGCCCCAAAATCATTCCCTCATTGTGAATTTCCTCTTTTCCCCCTTAACACTAGTGCTCTTAAACTTCTTGGTCTTCACAAAAGATGGTGTATTTTAGTGACTGTGTCTGTGTGGTACGGAGTTCATACAACATTATTCAATTGCTTCCAGTCAGACCAGCATCCCTTTATCTGCATGCAGCATCTGGGTTGCTGCTAGCTAAATAAAAGGTACTGGTGATGTGACATTGTGTTGAGTGTTTTAACTAGCTTCAGCTAGCTTTGGTGGCTGACTTTTGTAGGGGAAAGACATATTCAATCTATTTTATATAGTCGTCATAATCCTGGATTAAAATCCTGCTGGATATCTGTCTATTTTGAAATAAAATAAAACTAGAAATTTTCTCTTCCCCTTCAATTCTCCCTCTTTTGCAGTGTGGTACTTGCCTCACTTCTGGCTTCAGGCCTTGTAAAGCACTGCATGGACAGCTACCTGGCCACCAGGAGTAAATCGCCTTCCAAAGATACCAACAGAAGCACAGGTTGGGTTTTCTGCGTAATACCTGTGCCCACTAAGGTGGGTGAGTCAGTCCTTTGTCTAAAGGGAGAGATTTTTAAGTGACTCACAAATTTCTTCCTTTTCTTCAAAGGACTCCTAGCAAAATCATCCATGGAGAATTCTACAGAAAACTCAAAAAATATGCAGTGGTTCATCACTGAGTAGGCACAGGAGACCTGTCCTTTTTCAGGGTTACAAGAATCTTTCCTGGTTAAGCTGTTTAGAGGAGGAAGAGAAAAATAAAATAAAAAATAAATACAATTAAAAAAAATGGAACTATCTGAAACCCCTAACTGACAATTTTCAGAGGTAAAGATCATCTAGTGCATCAGGCTGGAATGTAAAAAAGAAAAAAGTTAAGGGACTTTGTGTATTTGTTCAGATGTTCCAAATGTTGTCTGTAGCCAAGATCTTGACCACCTTGTAGGTTTACTACCCTTTCCTGATGTATTGCTGAGATATGCAGAATAGGTTTGCAACTTTTCTTGTAGATATACTTTTATTTGTAAAGCTTCCAGTTAGTCTTGAAAAGGAACTTAGTCTGATCTTGAGAGAGAAACATGGAAAGGGGAAGTAGACACCCACACCCTCTTTCCAAACAGCTCCCTGTTCATGCTTACTCTGCTCTTTGCTGACGGCACTTCAATGTTAGTAAGTTCCCTCTTGGACACACAAAATGATACCAGGAGATCTCAGTATTCACTGAAACTGAGGCCTTTTTGTGGTGTCTCAGTTGTGGCTCCATTTCCCACTTGAAGCAGGTTTTCCGATTCTAAGAAGCTTACTTAACCCAGGGTTTAAAGCTATTTTTATCCCACATGAAATGTGTGTGGAGAAACATCATTCAGAAATGGAGGACAGCGTTGTTTGTTTTTCCTCAGGGTCTCCTTTATGCTTCAGAGAGGTGAGATAATATTTTATAGAAAACCTAGAGAAACTTCAGGTATCCTGCACATCCACACTGCCTGAGGCAACTCATAGAGGGACAAAGAGGCTGATTCATTTGCAAAAGCTCATTGGGGTAGTCTGAGATCTGAGTTCTTCCAAGTACATGGAAATCTTTCCTTCCCAGACCACTGCTCCTGTGTTATCTGTAGTGTTAAATGAGGGCCCTCCCCTGGTCACCTTAGTGGCAATTTTGGTACCTCATCACTACTTTAGTAATATGTCAAAGTGTAGGTTTTATGGCACAGAGTTGTAGTATAACTTGGAGTTTATCTGATCTCTTTATTGTACCTGCTATATAATAATTGTAATAAATACAACAATGATTAGAGAAGTCTATGTAGGTGCCAAGTTGCTGGGGTTAGTTCTGTAGAATGAAAAACAATAAAGCAAAGATGACAGAGGTAATTTGGCAGGCTACACAGAGCAGCCATGACACTATTAAAAGACGGTAGCATGTCTGTTGCCGTTGTGAGCTTTTAATCACTCCTATTACGGTGCTTTTCCCATCCTGACAGCTGGCGTGCACCAGACTCTCTTGTTAAGGCTTGCATGAGTGGTGGATTTTTTGTTTTTATTTTGTTTTAAGTCAAGTGAATGACCACAGCACCAAACAGTCCCAACACTACCTAGCAATTTGTGCAGCTGGAGAGTTTGCTTATTTTGCAGAACAGATGTTTAATGCAGTATCCACTATAACGTGTGCAATAACTGCCTGTCCAGGCCATGCAGCAACACAAAGCATGCTGAATTCAGGGGGTTATTAAAAAGCCACTGTACCAGGGTTAATGGGAGCTTGGTTAAAAGAGCACTGCTTCTTGTCACTGGAGGTTTAGCAACACAGGCTATTTGGCTTTGGAGTCAAAATTGGATAAAATTAATGGTAATAGAATAAAAATGCATGTGAATCTGTAGGGGGAAAAAACCTGCTGTATAAAAGGATGATATTGTCTCAAGTGTTAAGAGGAATACTCAGCCTCACTCCCTTGAGATTCCTCCTGAAAGGCCATGCTGTGCTGACTTCTTGAGTGAGGTAAATGCAGAAATTCTGGCTAACAAAGATGTTCTCTTTTACCCTTCCTGGGATCATTATAAGTTCTGCCATTTTTAATGGGAATGTTACTCCCCAAGTACTTTATGAATAGAGACAAGATCCAGTCCTACTTATGCTAAGTTTTTACAGGAATTATAATTTGCCTCTTTAACACACGTCCCAGGGCTAGATCCTGTTGTTTTTATACAAATTCAGTACCAAAGCCTGAATAATATAGGCTGTGGATTTTACCTTCCATAACGCCTGTTGTCATTTGACCAGTCAAAGATTTGGTAACTAGCCAGAGGCCAGAGAGGAAGTTCAGTGTGTGTTTTTTGTCTTAATGGCAATGCCAGCCTATGCAGCTCTCTGGTTGACCAGTCAGTGACCTGAACTGGGGAACTGGTTAGGCTGAAAACTGCTATTTTTAAAAATGTTGTTCTTTTTTCTTTTCCTCTCAAAATAGCCTGGTTTATTCCTTTGCTGCTTCTGGCACAACAAGAGGTTGTTCTAGATAATGCCTAGTTGGTTCCTACAGCCATATTAATAGTACCTTACTATTACTCCAATATCACTAACCTCCCAGGAGTTCGTCAGAAATGTATTCTCTGCAAAACCTCTCTAAATACTAATGAGTTGAGAACTTCCACTGAAAACACAATGAATCAGATGCAAAAAGCCTTCCTGAGAAGAAGCAAGTCAATGCTTTTGCCCTGGCCCATTATCCCAAAGTAATTTATGTACCAGAAGCAGCTGGATTGCAGTGTTCCCCAAAGGCAAGGATGCCTGCAGGACATACCTGCCTGCCTCCTACATCCCTGTCTCAGCCCTGAGCTCTTCTCGGACAGTGGCTAACCCCAGGGACATACAAGGCTGTGTCAGAAGATGCCAAGTCTCAGACTAGTAAAGAACCGGCTTGAAAAGAGTAGGTCTTTTCCAGATCCCTTGCAAGCTGTCTTCATCCCTGTGGGCCTCTGTGGAGCTGAATGCTGTGACCTTTTCTTTAACATATAGCTTTGCTTTGGTGCTGAGCTGGAGCTGCTGGTGCCTTCTCAAGTGATCA